CCTTTGAAATCTGGCACTAGACAAGGATGCCCTCTGTCACCACTCCTATTCAATATAGTACTGGAAGTTCTAGCCAGAGCAATCAGGCAAGAAAAAGAAATAAAGGGTATTCAAATAGGAAAGGTGGAAGCCAAATTGTCTCTATTTGCAGACGACATGATAGTATACCTAGAAGACCCCATTGCCTCAGCCCAAAAACTCCTGAAACTGATAAGCAACTTCAGCAAAGTCTCAGGATATAAAATCAATGTGCAAAAATCACAAGCATTCCTATATGCCAATAACAGACTTAAAGAAAGCCAAATCAAGAACGAACTGCCATTCGCAATTGCTACAAAAAGAATAAAATACCTTGGAATACAACTCACAAGGAATGTAAGGGACCTCTTCAAGGAGAACTACAAACCACTGCTCGACAAAATCAGAGAGGACACAAACAGATGGAGAAACATTCCATGTTCATGGTTAGGAAGAATTAATATCGTGAAAATGGCTATACTGCCCAAAGTAATCTACAGAATCAACGCTATCCCCATCAAGCTACCATTGACTTTCTTCACAGAACTGGAAAAAACCACCATGAACTTCATATGGAACCAAAAGAGAGCCCGCATAGCCAAGTCAATTCTAAGCAAAAAGAACACAGCGGGGGGCATCACACTACCAGATTTCAAACTATACTACAAGGCTACAGTAATCAAAACACCATGGTACTGGTACCAAAACAGAGATATAGACCAATGGAACAAAACAGAGGCACCGGAGGCAACACAACATACATACAACTATACAATCTTTGATAAACCTGACAAAAACAAGCAATGGGGCAAGGATTCCATGTTTAACAAATGGTGTTGGGAAAACTGGCTAGCCATGTGCAGAAAGCAGAAACTGGACCCCTTCCTGACACCTTACACTAAAATCAACTCCAGATGGATTAAAGACTTAAACATAAGACCTGGCACCATAAAAACCCTAGAAGGAAATCTAGGCAAAACTATCCAGGACATAGGAGTAGGCAAGGACTTCATGAACAAAACACCAAAAGCATTGGCAACAAAAGCCAAAATAGACAAATGGGACCTAATGAAACTCCACAGCTTCTGCACGGCAAAAGAAACAGTCACTAGAGTGGATCGGCAACCAACAGAATGGGAAAAAATTTTCGCAGTCTACCCATCTGACAAAGGGCTGATATCCAGAATTTACAAAGAACTCAAACAGATTTACAGGAAAAAAACAAACAAGCCCATTCAAAAGTGGGCAAAGGATATGAACAGATACTTTACGAAAGAAGACATATATGAGGCCAACAATCATATGAAAAAATGTTCATCGTCACTGGTCATCAGAGAGATGCAAATCAAAACCACATTGAGATACCATCTCACGCCAGTTAGAATGGCGATCATTAAAAAATCTGGAGACAACAGATGCTGGAGAGGATGTGGAGAAAAAGGAACACTTTTACACTGTTGGTGGGAGTGTAAATTAGTTCAACCATTGTGGAAGACAGTGTGGCGATTCCTCAAGGCCTTAGAAATAGAAATTCCATTTGACCCAGCAATCCCATTACTGGGTATATATCCAAAAGACTATAAATCGTTCTACTATAAGGACACATGTACACGAATGTTCATTGCAGCACTGTTTACAATAGCAAAGACCTGGAATCAACCAAAATGCCCATTGATGATAGACTGGATTGGAAAAATGTGGCACATATACACCATGGAATATTATGCAGCAATCAGAAATGATGAGTTTGTGTCGTTTGTAGGGACATGGATGAATCTGGAGAACATCATCCTCAGCAAACTGACACAAGAACAGAAAATGAAACACCGCATATTCTCACTCATAGGTGGGTGATGAAAAAAGAGAACACATGGACACAGAAAGGGGAGTACTAAACACTGGGGTCTATTGCGGGGAAAAGGGGAGGGCCAGTGGGAGGGGGAGGTGGGGAGGGATAGCCTGGGGAGAAATGCCAAATGTGGGTGAAGGGGAGAAGAAAAGCAAAGCCCACTGCCATGTGTGTACCTTCGCAACTGTCTTGCATGCTCTGCTCATGTACCCCAAAACCTAAAATCCAATAAAAAATTAAAAAAGAAAAGAAAAGAAAATATATAACAGCTATCGAGAAGAAAAAAGTGGTAGACTAGAAAAGTAGAAACTGCTTTCTATCTAGGACATAAAAAGAACAGAAAGGCAAATAATAAAGTAAAAATGACTTATATGAACTCCAAGTGCAGAGGGAAGACATTCTTCAGGACTAGAGCCTGGGAATATCAAGAAAGCATGAAATTTGCCCGTCATCTTGAAATTCCCCATGGCAAAACAGGAAAACCAGAGTGGAACATTTTTCTTTGATAAAAATGAAGAAAAGAGAAGGCCTTTAAAAATACCAACCTAGAAGAAAGAACAGGAAGAATCAACTGGTACTCTGCAATGTGAGATATCCTTTGAGAACAGTATAAAAAGATGACAATTTTGATAATAATGACTGGCAAGAAAAACCACAATAAGGACACAAAGCTCTGTTTTGACAAAGCCTCCAGTTGATGAGACCTGAGACTCCAGACTTACTGACTTTGTGTCTTTCCAGAAACTTGACCACCGCTGGTTGAAACCATTGAAAACTAACATTGTAAAACGTCACTGTGCAGTTCCAGCAATATACTAGATCGCAATGAAAACTAGAAATGAATGAACCCTTTTGAGAAATATTCCCTCAGCTTCCAGGGAGTGTGACATAAAAATATGGTGGGCTCTGATATAAAAACATAGCCCTGTTTTTGTCTCTTTGGGGAATCACCACACTGCTTTCCACAAGGCTGAACTAATTGACACTCCCACCAGCAGTGTATAAGCATTCCCTTTTCTCTACAACCTCACCAGTAAAACTACGTTCAGCCCAGAAATCCTATTACTGAATATATAACCAAAAGAATATAAATCCATGTAACCAAATACCACCTGTTTCCACAAAACCTATTGAAATAAAAAAATGAGTAGAGCAAAGAGAATTTTTAGGGCAGGGAAGATTCTGTATGACACTATAATGATGGATGCATGACATTACACATCCTTAAAACCCTTAGAAAGTACAGCATCAAGAGGGAACGCTAACGTTATCTAAGAACATTAAGTGATACTGATGTGTCAATGTAGGTTTATCTGTTGCAACAAATGTACTACTCTGAAGGGGCCTGTTGATGATGGGGGAGGATGTTCAGCAGGGGAAGAAGAGCATGTTTAACCTCTGTGTATTCTCTGCATCATTTTGCTGTGAATCTAAAGCTACTCTAAATTAGTCTGTTCATTAAAAAATAAACAAACATATCATCCTGCCACAAAGACACATGCATGTGTATGTCAACTGCAGTGCTATTTATAATAGCAAGGACATAGAATCAACCAAAATGCCCACCAATGATAGACTGGATAAAGAAAATCAGGTACACATACCCCATGGAATACAAGGAGTCATACACCAAATGAGATAATGTCCTCTGCAGGGACATGGATGGAGCTGGAGGTCATTATCCTTAGAAAACTAATGCAAGAATGGAAAACCCAATGGCACATGTTATCACTTTTAAGTGGGAGCTAAATGATGAAAACACATGGTACAAAGAAGGGAACAACACACACTGAGGTCTACTTGAGGGTGGGGGGTGGGGGAGGGAGTGGATAAGAAAAAGTAACTGGTGGGTTCTGGTCTTAGTATCCGCATGAGAAAATAATCTGTACAACAAAACCCCATGACATGAGTTTCCCTATATAACAAATCTTCACATGTACTTCTGAACCTCAAAAAAAAGTTTTTTTTTAAAAAAATCCATAAGCTTGGATAAAGAAATACAGCAGAAGAACATATCCTATAATTATATCCTATTTACACAATGGCTCTCAAGTAAATGAAAAATTCCATTAAAATGTTTTAAAGGAATAGAAACAGCTGACATGGTTATAGGATTTTTTTTAAAGTTGGCCTATTTAATTGTAATTAAATTACGTTTCACTTTTTTGGAATAGATGGATTTCAGATTTGACCAAAGTGTATTCTTTCCCTTTTATAATCTGGGATTCATTTCTCAAGGAAAAAGCAATCCTTCAGTTGAAAGCAAGGTATTGAGTCTTTATTATTATAAATACCCTTTAACCTATAGGTTAATAATGCTCATTATTATTTCTCATGGTCCAGGTTTCTCTCCTAATTAGACACCATATAAAACATTACATCTGCAGTTCTTGGAATTTTATTCCTATATTCTTTGTCTCACAGACCTTAATTACTTTGTCAAAAGAGTTGGAAATCACACACACAATTATTCTAGTCTAAATATTCTGTAAATTTAAGGCTACAATTCAGTAAATGTTAGTTGTTTACTTTGTTAATTTGTTAAAATGAAACAAACCATAAGTTTAAACTCCCTTGTTCTTTCTATCACTTAGTTCTCTAATTAATCTTTCTTGTCCTGTTTCAATAAACATTAGCCAAAGAGATTGTAAGCTCAGCTGTCCTGGAACTCTCTCAGTACTGGGTCATTAAGCCATATAAGTTTTCATGCCTACAAATGCTTTTGAAATTAGAACCAAAATATATCACAGTAATTAACAAAGTGAAAAAAACCTAACAAAATATTTAAATATAAACATTTAGATTTAGATGAGAAATCCCTCCAAATTGGATTTTATTTTTCTTAGAGACATTTCACTCTAACACCACTAGCATATAATTACTGAATAATTTTATGAAATTGATGGGTCCTTATGCCAACAATATCAGAATACAAAACAAAAAGCTAACAATCAATGAACCTAGAAAATTAAAACTAACTCAAATATTTTTTATGAAGCAAAAGAAACCAAGAGGCAAGAAAATGATTTGAGGTTCATGACTAAAAAATGTCTCTTCCTTGACACTTGGAGCAATGTCAAGACAGCAGTCAAGAACAAGGGGAAGGGAAAGAATTTATCAATACATCACTTACTTCTTTGTATCCGAAGATGATGCGTCCATCCATGAGCAGGGTTGCCTGGAACGTGAAGCTTCCCAGGTTATAATTATCCTGGAGATGTACGTGGTCCCACTGGACCACAAGTGCTGTGCCTATAAACCCATTTAAAAAAAGAAGAAATGCAATGAGAAAAACATGCCAATCAATTCCGATGGGAGATTTCACAAAAAAAGTTATTGCCTTTGGACTTCAAATCTGGTAGTTGTACGATTTCAATTTTATGTGGTTAATCAAAGTCTGTTACTGAAATAGCATTTGGGATTTTTTTTAAGGACTGACTATTCTCTAAATATTTAGTAAAATATAACCTCATACTTAGGTTAATACTGAGCTATCGCAGTGTGGGGGAATTTTGCCTTAGGAATTTTATTAATGTTAATGGGTACTGTCTGCTTAAATTTCTATAAGCCAGTTTCAAAATGCAGCCCAAGTGGATTGAATGAACTTCAAATACATTTGACAAATGCTGAGAGAGAAAGAAACACATTTAAAAAGTTAGGACCACATGCAAAAGACCTGCAAACGTCTTTTTCATACTTAGAAATATACTTTTCCACATTGAAGGCGTTCCTTGAACACTAATGGGAATTTTCTCCTTGGGTTCACAACGTTTGTATTTCTGTCTTTGTTGTGTTTCTTCCACGAGGCTGCAAGCAGCTCAAAGGACCTTGGGCTAAGATTTTTGAAACCCCCTTGAAGCACACTAGGATGAAACTCCAGTGCTGTACATTATATTCTGACTCACTCAGTCAGTGTTTACTATGAACAATTAACATGAAATAAAAACTGAAACATAGTTTAATAGTCACCAGTGAGAATTCATATTTTTGTTTTAACTGACATTGTGTAGTCTCTTTTTAAAAAAAAAAAAAAGAAATGAGCTGCTAAGACTTCTTCACTCTAAATATTAGATTTTTCTGTTCGGCTTAAAAAAATATTGTTGCCCAAAAAAGTTGTGTTGAAAATGAAAATCATAGAACTAAAAGAGCAAATTTTATATCCCAGCAATAAATAGCTGATAGATTTAAAAATTACAATTGCATGGAAGAATTAATTTTCAGTTAACTGCCTGGTGCTATTAGTAATATCTCTTGAGCTAGTTGACAACTTTAAATAGACACGTTATTTCAAATATTTTGAAAGCCCTATTGTAAGTCTTTAAAGAATGTTGAAGTATAGAAATGGACTTCTTTTGAGGCAAAACTTTAAATGTTTTTTAAAGAAAGAATTGAACTTGACCTTGGTGCTTTTAGTCATTATTACTGCTTTGAGTGAAGACCACCCAGGTTTCCTTCCATGGGCATCTCTCTATCTATATTGTCCTTTTGGAAAGAAAAAGATAAGGGGAGGGGAGTGGAGGGGAGGGAAAGGGGAAAAGGGAGAAAGGGGGAGAAAGAGGTAGAAAGAAGGAGAGGAGGGGAGGGGAGGGGTGAGGGGAGGAAGGGGAAGGAGAAGGGAGGGGAGGGGAATGGAGTGGAAGGGAGGGGAGCAGAGGGGAGAGGAGGAGAGGGGAGGGCAAGAAGACAATAGCCCGGAAACTTCCCATGATTTTATAAGTATAGGGATTTTCTAATTGTGAGATGTCTCCTTTTTCCTTCACACATGTCTACAACCCCCAAGCTCTAGTCTCTTTACTATTCTCTAGTTACTTTTTATTCCTGAAAGATACATTTATATTTTAACCTTTATCTTCAAGTGCATTTTTTCCCACTATGCCATTATGAACATTCTTTGATTCATTAACTGAATAATTTATTGAGGGCCTAATGAGAGCCAGACATTAGGGATTCAGTAGTGAACCAGACAGATATCATACATAAATAAATGAAAATGCCGGTCCGGAACACGCACTGACCAACTACAACTGTCCTTTCAACACACCACAGTTGAAAACATTCACAGACAACAACGTAGCCTAGAAATGCTGACAAAAGAAGAAACAGTTGGCATGAATGAATAAAAATATGTGGATACTAGTCTGTATTATCTAGTTTCTATCACACTCCGGTGATGCAGTAAAAACAATGAGCCAGAGGGCAGAAGACTTAGACTCGCACTCTGTCTCTGTAAAACTTTCTGTGTGAACTTGGACACAATTAGTCTGCATGAACCCATTTCCTCTCCTATAACACGAAAAGTATAATTTCTGCCTGCAAGCGATTTCCGCATTAAATACAAGAAAATATACTTATCCTTGATTATTTATGAAAAAGAGAGGGCTATATACATTAAAGTTTATAGTGCAAATTCTGAGGAAAAGATGCCTAATATTTTGTTAGTAGCAGGTTGTTAAAAATCACACTGTTTGTAAATGCTTTTATATTATGTAATAGCATACTCTCTCAATATTTACTGATTTAAAGTTTCTGACCTGCTGCTATCTTCTCCAGAGAGACTGCTTTCCTAAATTGTTGAGTTTCCAGTCTTTAAGTATGTGCCAGTGATTCTAACCGAACTTGAAAATATTTCAGCAAGTTGCTGTGGTATAGAAAGGACTTCATGAAGAGCCGTACAGTATTTAAAAGTGTTTCATTCGTTTAATAAAACACAAGCTTTTCATTATCATATTGTTTGAACTTTATATTCCTCAATATTAGATTCCTATGGAATAAGTCTTTACACGGAAGATATTTCAGTGGGTAAAAAATACATTCATTCTTGAATAACAATGCTTTTATAATTCCCAGAAATAAATACTCACTTTACACATTTAATTATTGCTATTTATTCATTAAATAATTATTTAGGGTCTATGCCTATTAAATATCTCTGCAGGGTACCAGAGAAAAAATGATTTCTTATAAATAGCCACAGCCCTTGTTTTTAAAGGACTTAAACTTCAGTTGGAGTAGTATACATCAATTTTTAAAAAATCATTCAAATACAAGTATAATTCAAATATTAAGAGCTACCTAGAAACAATGTATATAAGAATATATGGAGAGACTTATTTAATATGCATTATGATTTTGATACCAACAATGTAAAAACGTGGTCATTAGAATCATGTGCCCATAAGTAAATGACCCTAATATCATCTAGTGAGTGTCGGAGTTTGGAAAATAGTCAATTTTCATTAAATCATTCATATTTCCTCAGGATAGATTCCCAAGGCAATTTTGTATGGGAATCATAGAATAAGTTTCAGATAAGTTTCTAGCTCTAGTTTTGCCTCAAGCATACTGTATTTACACTCTACTTGCACAACCTTGGGTGTTAGCACCTTGTGAGGTTTTAAAAAATGGAAGAGAATATAACAGTTCTTAAAATAATAGTGAGAAATCATTATAGTTAACAGTTAGAGTTACTTAATATCGGATCATAACTTGGTGTTACTCAAATTGTTCAAAGCGTATTCCTAAGGTGAATACCTAACTATGTTTAGTATCCCACTGTGCTATTTTGACCTGTAAAATGGCTTCATCACACTGGTCAGGAGATTGCTTTTAGCAAAATGATCATATTTTTCCAAGGCTACTGCTACCATCAAGTCTATTTCAACCACAAGTAAATTTCTTCCTTGATCATCAGAAAGTAAGAGCAGTAATAACTCTGTTCACCCCAAATGCTTGTATTATTTGCAGGTATAAAATTGTCATTTGAACAAATAAATACCATTTGTGAATGATAAATACACAGAAAATTTTATATTTAATTAATCTTTCCAATAGAAACTCTTTGTTACCTATAATTTGTTTTCTCTACCAAAGATACAGTTTTCAATAAGATGTTGACATGAAAATTGATTTCTGTCTCTAAGACCTTGAGTATCTCACTTGGATTCTGGCAGCACTCAATGACAAATTCTAGTTTTTTCTCTACTTTATATGTCATAAAATGTAGTAGCAGGGATATATTGCTCTTGGTATATTTGATAAATCTTAACAGGCTCACGTTCATTTTGTAAAGTCAAGAAAACTTTATTTTCTTAAGTTGAACTACCCACACTAACTACTTTATACTTTTAAAAATATGTGTTTATTTTATGGATACATACAAGTCATAAGTTCTAGAAATTTTATATCACTATATTATGCCACTTGCCTCTACTGGAAGATCAGAACTAAGAAAATTATTCTGATTTCCATTTTTTTTCTGATGGAAAAATTGGAAAACCGAGTTACTGAAATAGCATCAAAAACTTATTGAAATGCATCAAAAACACATTTGCTTTGAGGTCTTGTCTATAGCAACTCATTTCTATTGTGTACAGTAGATGTTAATAAACATGTTGGATAAATGTCATTTGTGTACTTTATAAATCTTAACAGCTAACAGTATAACATCTGTCATCTCAGACCATTTGCATCAAGCAGTTTACACACCAAAAAATACAGAGTCCACGAAAACATTAACATGAATCTGATGCTTGAGGTTAAAAATATATATGCAGCAAAAAATATATGCTAATCAATACATACCATTATCAAAATATCTGACAGTTGAATTTCTGGATACACTGGGATCGAAATTTGCCATTAAAGGTGCTATGTACTGTGTGGCTGTTAGCATTCGATGTACAACTTCTCCAGTGTATATGAAACCTAGAAACAGAAAAATAGAAAACATGCTCAGAAAAAGAAGCCCATATGAAATTATAATTAAAATACTTCCAACTCCATTACAGGCATATTTTTAAAATAAAATGTCATGGTAGCTAGAAAAAAAGGAACATATTTAATATCTTACAGTCTAATTAACAATACTTGGTCTGGATTAAGTAACAAATTCTCATAGGATTTGGTAGAACCTTGCAGACTGGCAAATCCAAAATCTATAACATGTGCAATTTTAATTGTGGGAAAAGTGACTATTATCTGGATGAGATTATTGGGCTAAAAATGCTAATCTAGTATCATAAGTAATTAAAATATTCAATTTGCCATTATTAATTCCTTGTTATTTTAACACTAGGTTACCACACAAGTCTTTTGAATGAGTGAATTCAGTTTCATAATATTTATTTAACCTACCATCTCAGCATAGGACATTTTAGAAATGACACCTGCTAAAATGCAGAAAATATGTTGATGCTTTCTTTTTTCCTTGAAAGTTGAAAGGGTGCTAAACACCCACAGTGAAGATTTCACATTTCTTGGATTGCTCAAGTCTCTATTATCAGCACACTGTCAAGAAATAAAGTCTGTATGTCTGCAGATAAGATGGTAAAACATTGACCATGCACAAATGCCTCTCTATTTAGAGATTTAATCAACGCCAGTCTATTCTAGCAGTTGGATAACGAGAGGGAATTTACTATGGAGGACTTCGGCTTTGAATTAACTTTCAATAGCTCCTATGTTACAAGTCTAACCCACTTTCAATTTTTCACACTAGGTTTATTTACTTTGTGGATTATCCATGACAAATTGTTAATCCTGTGCTGGCTTCTTGCCTACAAAGTCTTTAGCTGCCTGAAAGGAGAGTCAGCTCAGGGAATGCTAACTAATTTTAATATTAATCTAAGAAATACACAATTAAGATACATATGCAAATGCACACACACAAATAAAATGCAAAGCAAATTATTTGTGACAATGCAATGTAATGTATGGGCAGTCATGAGTTAATTAGATACCCAAGACTAATATAAATCATTTTTCTACATTCACAGGAATCAATAAAGAAGCAATGCAATATGTAAAGCTCAAAAAATATTACTTTGATAACTCATTTTATGGTCTGAATAAATATTTCATTGGCATATTGCAGTCTTCATTGTTTCAAATTCCAAACTGTGATGTTCCAAATTCTGCAAGTTACTGCAGAATCACACCTACAGTTATTTAGTTAGAAATTAATTTCTCTTTGGCAACATCTTCTTTACTTTGACTATCTTTTCACTTTTCATCAAAAGCATAATTGAACTACAGCTATTCATCTTAAAAAATATTTTAACTGGAAAAATCTTCAGTGTGTATTTTTCTTACCAGGACTTCTTGCTTATTTGCCAAGCCCTCTTTTAAAATAAATACCTGATGTCTTAAGCAGAATTTGGTACCTTTGTAATTTCACACAGCTTAAGTGTATTAAAAAATGTTATGGTGATATGGTCATTGCTTTTATTACATTTCTCTCTGGATTTTCAGAGTCATACTCCTAATATTCAAAGTGCAATATCACGTTCTTAACATTATAAACATGAAGAGTAACTGTTTTTTGGGTCTCTATTTTTTCTCCTATCCTCTCCAGCATCCATTTATAATGTCATCATTAAAATGAATACAACAATTCTATAGATACAATCTTTTAAGGGAAATGTCTGAATTGGACTCTGAAAGTGTTATTTCAGAGAAAATAGCTCCAGGTAGGTAATTTCTCTTCTTTATATTCTCCATGTACAAATAAAAGAAACTGCTTTACTTGGAGAATGAAGGGCAGTTATTCAAGGAGGGAAGATAATTTTAAATAAATACAAAATCCATTCTCCAAGACAACTTGGTAAGAAAAACAGCAGTAATCCCTAAAAATATACTGTTGCAAAATGTAAGAGCATTAATCATTTCAGACACTTCATACTTATTGTTAGTTTTTAAATAAGTTATATATATGTGTGTGTATGTGTGTGTGTGTGTGTGTGTGTGTGTGTGTGTGTATGTGTGTGTGTGTTCCCCTCAATGTTTCTACATAGATTTGTCAGGAAAACTGGTCTCCACTTTCAATAACCCAGTTTTCAGATCACAGAAACCATTAACTGTTATTTCTTTTGATTGGGAAAATGTTTCCCAAATCTACAATTTCTCAAATGTCAGAAGGGAAATTTCAAATTGTTTCCAAAGAACTCAGTAGAAATATAGAATAATTTGTTAACATGTAAAAGCCATAGATATAGCTTGATTCTTTTATTACCAGAATATTAAAATAAATCTATTACTATGAATATTAAGGTTTCCACAAATACAAGGAAAAAGAAACTGCTACTACAATGCCTAGCATGTCTGGCTCTCCTATTACGACTACCACTATTTATACTACCACCATGAAAGGCTAATATGAAGAAAAAAGAAAGAAAGAAAAAAACACTATTCTATAAAACGAGTTTCATTTTACTAATTCAGGGAATATTGTTTGTTTTTCTTGGCCATACTGACAGTTAATTATATCCATGTCTCAGGTTAGTTTCTAATGACCAAGAAACAAAATTCTTGACTTCTTGGTGAAGCCTATCTCATGATAGACTCTACCCTGTTCTCATTAAGTTTCTAGATTTTAAAAATATCAATTCAGCAGTGGTTAATAATTGAGTAGAGAGAAAATTTACAAGCTTGCAGGGGAATGTAATTCGATGTTAAATAAGAAAGAGCTATGCAAATTAATGCAACAAAACTCCAAAGCTTTAAAGGCACTCATAGCCACCAACACACCACGAGATATTTACTTCTTTCCTTTGGCTGTTCTGGGCATGTCCAGTTAAATATAAATATAAATATCTGTATATATAATATGTATATTTTTCTGATCCTTCATGTTTTGGGGTAATTTAAGCAATTTTTATTATTATTATTATACTTTAAGTTCTGGGATACTTGTAAAGAACATGCAGGTTTGTTACATAAGTATACATGTGCCATGGTGGTTTGCTATACCCATCAACCTGTCATCTACATTAGGTATTTCTCCTAATGCTATTCCTCACCTAGACACCCACACCCCAAAAGGCCCCAGTGTGTGATGTTACCCTCCCTCTGGCTATGTGTTCTCATTGTTCAACTCCCACTTATGAGTGACAACATGTAGTGTTTGGTTTTCTGTTCTTGTGTTAGTTTGCTGAGAATGATGGTTTCCAGCTTCATCCACATCCCTGCTAAGAACATGAACTCCTATTTTTTTATGGGCTACATAGTATTACATGGTATGTATGTGCCACATTTTCTTTATCCAGTCTGTCATTGATGGGCATTTGGGTTGGTTCCAAGTCTTTGCTATTGTGAATAGTACCACAATAAACATACATGCATATGTGTCTTTACAGTAGGATGATTTATAAACCTTTGGATATATGTTTTTACTATTTTATTTACATGTCTTTGTAGCCATTTGAAAAGCTAATCATACAATGTCTTCTTTGCTTACTATGTGATTCTACTATAAATAGCACTCATTTGCTCATCTGCCTTTGCAGAAAAGTCATTTATGCAGATAATTTGGTAATGGGAAAGACATCTTCATTAAAAAAAATCAAGTTAAAGAAGCAAACATATTTTGTTCTTTGAATCTCAAATAAGAGTGAACACATGGCCACTCCCTTTTGCCTTAACAACTATTAAAACCAGAGCTAAATTCTGAGTTCATTTGTAATCAACAGCTTTGTTTCTGTACCTTGAAGAATTTCCTTGGGCTGCTTTATGTAGGTGGTCTCTAGTCATGTGAATAATCTGCTTTTCTATCTGGGAGTCTCATCTAGTCATTTTGGGGATTCTATCATTGTAGGTCTTGTCATGAATAAATTCCAATCAACTATTATTATTTTATTAATTTTAATTATGTATGTACTAACCAGAAATATTCTGATAATGGTAACCAGTATCTATATAGGCCTTTGCTAATTATATTATTTTCATGTATTTTCTTTTGTTCTTTCTCTTTGCTTTCCTTCTTTCCTTCTCTCTCTCTCTCTCTCTCTCTCTCTCTATCTCTCTCTCTTTCTTTCTTCTTTCGAGTCTTGCTCTGTCACCCAGGCTGGAGTGCAGTGACACTATCTTGGCTCACTGCAAACTCCACCTCCCAGGTTCAAGTGGTCATCCTGTTTCAGCCTCCCAAGTGGCTGGGATTACAGGCATGCACTACCATACCCAGCTACTTTTAGTATTTTTAGCAGAGACATGGTTTCACCATGTTGGCTAGGCTGGTTCTTGAACTTCTGGTCTCAAGCAATCCACCTTCCTTGGCCTCCCAAAGTGCTGGGATTACATGTGTGAGCCACTGCACCCAACCTTTATGTATTTTTGTGATTGCATTCTTGCACTAACTTTAAAAAGAATAGTGGTACAAGTAGCATTATTTCCATTTATTAAATGAAGTATTTAATAAGACTGGGTAATTTGCCCAAAGCCACATGGCTACAATAGGTCTTGTGATTCCAAATGTTATGGGCTCTTTACAGTAAATTTTTGCAGTCATTCTGTGTCCAGCCTTACATCAGGTACACTAGAAGAAAGAAAGTTAGGCAGCATTCCTTTTACTTCTTTTGACATCATTTCTAAGGCAACCACTCTGCAGTCATAAACAAGTTAAAATTGCCACCAGATGACAGTTCCCACAACTAGACAGTAAGTTCTCACTTAACATCTACAGGTTCTTGGAAGCCGTGACTTTAAGGAAAAACATGTAAGGCAAACAATTTCAGCACTGGCTAAAAGATATCAGTCAAAGTTAAGTTCTTATGGCATATTTCTGGATACAAAACCTCACCAAACTTCTAAATAAAGACCAAAAACACTTCTAATAGTAAATATTTAAATGAACTTGAGCTATACATACATTTAAGAAAGGTTAATAAAAACATGTAAGATAGGTATCTACCCAGTTATTTTATTTCTGGGTC